AATAGTTGGTAGTGTTTGTGTGCAGAAGAGAACCCTACAAGTATTGAAATAAATCAGGTTGTTGGCTGAGAGAGCTAAGTGATAACCATTTAGTTTCTAACACACATCTTTAGGAAAAGCTTCAATGTTGAATGCAATAGAAAGTACAGACTTTCCAATACTTGGCAGTGTTGATTTTTCCCGACTTTCCACTACTGATTTCTGTACTTGAAATTACAGCTAAAAGATGGAACGTTCCTCTTTTAGGGACTTAAGCACTTTCAAATAGCCCAAGTAAATGGCCTTCAGCAAAATTATAAAGTTGTGAACAAGGGAGACTTTATAAAGCACATATGCAACGTTAGCTCAAAGAACAAAAACTGAATTTGACCAGAAATCTATATTGGTTAGTAAACAGATATAAGCACTGGCTAAGCAAAATATTTAGACACAGGAGGCAAGATAGGAGTAACTTTTGTAGCTGAAGTCAAAGTTCAAGTTGCTGTGGTGTACCGGAACATCCACTTTTCATGGTTATGACACATGTTTTTAGGTAGTATATACTGCTATATTCTCCCCTTCTTGTTTCCTTAGTGTTACGTGACTAGATTTTTGTAAATGATATGGTGCATAATTATGCTATTATTAGCTTTAAGTACTTTCAGAACTCATGTTTTGTTTTTTCCTAATGAGCAGCCTTTTCCTGTACATACACACAATAAATGTTGTGTAATGCGATGTCTCTGAGACAAAGGATTGTTAGCGCGTCTTTACAAAACTAAGGTGAGACTATACCTTTGGAAAATCAAGTTGAATGGGAGACTCCAGTCTTCCAGTTGACTCTGCATAAGATTGAAGAACAGTTTGGGCCCAAAGGTAGTACGGAGCTCTGCTCAAGTGCCTTGGACCTGGGTTTACGGCCATCTGTATGACTCATTTGATGTTCTTACCACAATAGCTGTAATTAGTCCAGTAAACAATTAAATGTCATGGAAGTTATAGTTGCTAATTTTGACATCAGTAATCAAAAAGAAGCTGACAAGACTGCGCTTCTAATGATATGTTTTAACCAGACACTTTATCTTTGATTAGGCTGTGTATGCTTAAATGTTTAATTTAGCAGCCATTCATAGAGAATTGACAGGACCTGCAATTCAAACTGTTCTTCTTCAGTGATTGCACCATCTAATGGCTTTGTGTTCATCTGTGGTTTTTTTATAAGGTTTGCAAATGTATTTTTTCTGCACGATACCGTTTTCTTCCCCTGTTAAGCCTATTGCCTGCATTACTTTTTCAATGCGAAAAAAGTTGGTTGTAATTTTCAGTGTTCAGTGTTACTGAAGGTGTCCTTTTGCCATTTGAATCTTTGGTGGTGTTTGGGACTTTTTGGGTGTCTGGGTGTTGTTTTTGTGGTGTTTTTTTTTTTTATTTTTTATGAAACCGATTTTAGCAATTGATAAAGGAGCCTTCTTGTGATGTGAATCCAGTCCTGTGATAGTTCCTCTACTTCTTTGACATGTGCTGTAAATCTGTATATGTTACATGAACTCAGTACTTTTTCAAAAATTAGACCTCCTCTTTTGTCTTTTATTTTTTTAAAAGTTAAGAGATCAGGAGAGTTGGAACTTTAAATCTGAGTCAGCACAAGGAATTATCTGGCTGGATTAGCACAGGTGATCAGATTCAGCAAGTTCTAATTGGTTCTAAAAGGAGGAAGTAAATTGCATAATATTCCTTAATTTACAGAAACTCTTATTTGTGCAGGTATTTGAGGAAAACTCTTTATAGCTTAATAGATATGTTTGATTTTTTTTTTTTTCTTTTCATGTCAGCTGTGAGGTGAAGTTACTTTTGTTTAACTGTTCTATCAGACTTGTATAAACTTTGTTTTAGCAGCAGGATGGAGATTATATAATAAATTTTCCAAAATGTACTTGCTGTGCTGTCATTGTTGGAGATTGTCCTCTATATTTTTGCTTCAGGGAGAGCCAGGCATATTGTTAGAGAATCTGTATATGTCCTGCTTGGTTATCATTTTTTCATTTAAATTGTGAGTTGACTGGTCTGATGGTTTATGGTTGCTGGAAATGGTAACTTTTTCAGGCTTTGTTTCTGAGGAGGCAGTGTTGGATGCTAATGCCAACCCACGCTTATTTAGTAAACTTATTTGTAGTTCTTGTGTTTAAAAGAGTATTTTTATATTGCGCCTTCATGCTAGCCGAGGTTGCTGAAGGAAAATGCTACTTTGATGGTATTTTCAGTTACTATATCCATATTGTAGTTTTGTACTTTCAGCTTCATAAGAATGTTTTTCTTTTGGGAGCAGTTATATTATATGAACTAGTACATGCACACAACTTTATAATATGAAGTACTCATTTTTATTTGATAAAATTCAAAATCTATCCATAAGCAGTAAAGTTCCTCAGTCATAACAAATATATCTTTGTGTTCTTTTTTTTTTTCCAACAAGAAGGATGAAACGATAGTAGAAAAGGCAGCTTATGTATATGAACATTTATTCCAGTTATTTGAAGTTGAAAGAATGATTTGTCTCTTTATTTTTCTACCATCATCAGGACATGTATACCTCTGAGAAACCTTCTCCAACAAGATACCTTGCTTCAAGACCTGTCTTGGGTTATATGCAAAGAAGTTTCCAGTCATGAGTGAGTAGATTTCTTTCTTTAAGAAAAAAGAAACCCTTAGTTTGCAATTTAGAAGAAATGTGCTTCTGTAGTGGGTTTTGGAAGGTGGTTCTTCCTCAAAAATGTTCATACTGAGTTTTGTCTCTTCAGTCCTTTAAAAATAACCAAATAAAGCTGAGATTTGGTAGGTACTATTCTTAATCTGCAATTTCTTGATCAATGAATGCTCTGTAAGACTTCTGTGTTGGTAGTCTGGTATCGTTTTCAAGAAGGTGAGTTCTGTAATAAGCTGATGTTTGTTTTTTCAGTATGAATAAAACATGTAAGTCTGAGGGGGAAATGTCTGGGGTTTGCAAAGAACTCCAAAATATGTGACTGTCCAGTAAATTAAAATAGCTGGTAAAAATCCAACATAAAATGAATGGACTTCATTTTATAGGAAAAAATAAATTTATTACTCAAATTCCAGTATAGAGGTCTGATCCCAAAGGAATTTTGGCGATCCGAGCCATAGAAAACTGTGACTTGTGATCACTTTTGGTGAAAAAATAGATGAAAGACCCAGAAGCTTTGTTTTAGGCCATATCTGATGGGTAAGATAATCTCTTTTTAGTGAACTGCTTTGAATATTTAAAGGTCTTTCGTAAGTTTTGTGGATGTGAGACTTGTTAATATAATTCTTGGCAGCAACATTACCTAACCTTACATCATGCAGAAATAAGGTTATAACTTAATATGCACAGGGACTGTATTTATAATGTAGTTTAGTTTGAACATAACTGTACTGAATCTCTTGAAGAATGAGCATCTAGTTCATAGGATAATTATATCCTACGTTAGTAAAATAAGACCATTTGATTTTCTGGGAGGAAGCAAGTGAAGAAAATTGTTAGTTAAATTTCTTGTCAGACTAAATGAAAAATGACTGTTCTTGTCATCTGGAAGGAAAAAGAAGGATGGAGGAAATGCTTGCTAAATGCAGCAAAGCAAAAACTACACCAAAAAAAGGACTGAAAGAATTGCTGAGCTCTAGGGTTCGTGCTTAGTGTAGATAGAACTGTTTTGGTATTTATATAGAATTATATCTGTGTTCTCTTTGATATTGCTGTTCACACTTACTTACTTTCTGACATTTAAAGTATTTGCTGTATTGCATAGATGACAACCTGAATATCCTGATTTGTCAAATGCTGCTATATTAATCTTCATTTGTTTTATAGAGTATCTCATATGCTGTCATTGCCTAATGTATAGTCTTTAACATAACAAGTACCTGTAAGTCTTTTGAATCATAGTTGCTGTGTTAAGTGTGACTCACCAAGGTGCTGCTGTGATGTTGTTGGTTTGAGTACAACAAATATTGTCATGACTTGAGCCATTGGTTTTGGTGAGATTTTGACATGATTCCAGACTTGAGAGTTTAATTTTATATTGGCAAGAATGAAAACCCGTATTCAAATGAAAGATAACACTTTGGCAGTACTTTTTGTGGTGGTTAATGTTATTAAAAATACAGTCTCATCTTTGTAGGACACCACATTGCTGTGGTAGATTAGACATTTAAGTCCATGCTAAGTGATGGGTTTCAAGGGCACAACAGAAAATGCTGCTTTTTTTGAAAATATGGTTTAGAGAAGATTAGATGTTTATGTTCAGCTGGTATTGGATTTCTTAGTTCATGGTTTACTCTGGAGAAACTTGGACTATAGGCATGATCTACATAGTTTTAGGCTCCTCTCTACTAAATACCACAGTCTATAAGGTATTTAACATCTTATGAAGATGCATTTATTCACATACTTCTGTACATGTAAACTTATTCACAAAATCTGTGGGCACCTAGAATAGCTAGATGTGTTAAAAGTAATGGGGAGTCTCTAGTGATTGACACTTGTGCATCACCTAGTGTATTTCAAACTGAAAATCTGATGATACAAAATGTGGGAATGTCAGACTTGTGAAGGCTAATAACTTCTTGGTTTAAAAAATTCAGAATGCTGTTATGTGCAGGCTACATTACAGAATCCTACTTGTTATTTTCTTGTGATATGCTTGATGCTATGTATGTTGGTTTATGAAGAGGTGTTCTAGAATCTCAGTCCTAAAATGATTAAATCCCTTTTCTAATATCTGCCCTAAATTCACGGGCAGTTGATATCTATTTGGTTTTCTGCCAACCTTATTCATTAGCTTAAAAAGCAATTTTTACCTGTATCATATTTGTCATTTCAGCAGTTTGCTACATACAGCATATTATATTATTAGAAACAGCTTGTAGAAATAAATCTGCAATATCTTGGTACTTAAAAAGCGCACACAAGCTTATTTATAAGCAAATGATCAGTTAAAAAATTTTTGAAAGTGAGTAGGGGAACTACTGCTGTTGTATAACTCTTAATAGTTATCAGGTGTGTAGGTAAGGGCTTTAGGTCCTGTTGTATAGGATCTTCTCCAATATTGGGGAGGAGTATTGACAGAATTGCAAAGTCCATGATAGATGTTTTTAGTTGTGGAGTAGTACTGAGAATCTGCAAAGGTGTTAAAACTGAGTCAGTCTTTTATTTCTGTGGAATGCCTTTATAAATGTTTTAATAAATAAGGATAAGACAAATCTGTATTTCAAATTATATTTTACCATTGCGTGCCCCATAGGACAGTGAGATCACACGTTTCAAGGATGTATAAGAGTGTACAGTGTAGCTAAGTTAGATTGATCTTGATTTATTTTGTGTTTAAAGATAAATTGTCAGGGAAATCTTGGCTGTGTGTAACCTGCCTAGAACATCACACCACAGAAGTAGTTGTTTAATTTTCTATGTTTTCTCCAGTAATTGACATTTAGCTGCCAGAAAATGTGTAGTGTCATGATAAATTCTTACGATTATAGACGGTGCTTTTTATGTTTGGGAGTTTTCCTCTGCTTTCTCCTTTGAAGAAAGGTCAGTCTAATAAACTTATTTGAGCTGCTGCAAAGAACTCAGTTTGCAAACAATTAAACTAAATGTTAGTACATACTGTAGCAACAAGCTGCTGACATCTTCATTCTCCCCCTCCTCCCCCTTAAATGTATAGGATACGGTGCTGACTTTGCAAGTTTTTTTATTACTCTGCTGTCAAATTGTACAGAATCATTCCTTCCTAGCTTTGTCTTTCTGCTTTTAGTTTTGTTTCACACACCCTAAAAACTTAACACTGCTTGATGTTGGGAAGTTAACCTGCTATTCATCGTGCTTCAGTGTCATCTCTTCAGGTTTTCATTCTGATTGACTGAGGGTAGGAGCACATTTTGTATGTTTGGAGAGATGGGATGCAATGTAATCTTATATTTTGAAATTGGTCAGTGTGGCCTGGTAATGAGGTGGGAAATTTTTTGCTTCACTTGTTCAAATCAAGACCACAATGGTGTGATTAAAGGCTGCTTCTGTTTGATGGTTGGTTATTTATCTTGACCTCTCATTACAGCTGGCTTTCTAGTTTGTGTTCACAGAGGAACCTTAGGGCTTTGCGATTTTTTGAAAGATGAAGTTCTGATTGATACATAAAACTGCATGCTGGGGACGGAAAGCTTAGAAGTAAGCTAAAATATCTTTATAATGACATATATGTTACATGCTTAGTTTTTGTTTTATTTTTGAACCATGAACCCATTCATAAAACATGAGCTTGAAGATACAGTATGTGAAGTGTTTTCTTTAGCGATTATTCTTCTGATTTCACAGCACAATTATCTTCTCATATTTAGAAATACGGTGGCTTGAGAAATATAGAAGCAGCTGTTGTCTCCTAGGTAATTTTTACTGAAATTTGAAACAGCAATTCTTTATAGAAAACTGAAGATCTGAATGCTAAAGAATTGTAGGAAATAGGGTATAAAGACCCATAATGCAGATTTGAAAAAGGTTAGTTTGGAGACTTGGGATACATTTAAAATATTTTAAGAGTGTAATAATAATAATAACCCCCCGTGCAGTTCAACTATCTGGAAAAGAATGAAACCTACAAAGTACTTAAAATAGTAACCTACTGTATATTAATGACCCCATTAAAATTACTTAAATGATAACATTAATATTTATCTTATGTTTGCTCTGTTTTTTTTCTTGAAACTATCAGAGGAATTTACCACTGTACATAACTGTAGTGACACATGAGTGCTTGGATCAGAAGTAGTAGTGTAGTAACTTTTTTTTTTTTGTAGTGGGAGGATGAAACATGAAAAATACATGTGTACTAAGTTGTTTGGCTCCTGAACCTAGCAGTCAGGAGAAGCACTTACCATTCTTGATCTTGCTTCACTGTTACTCTTCTGTGTTTTCTTAACTTTTCACTTCTACTTTCTTCAGGTACTGCTAGTTAATGCTGTATCTGCTGGCTGTCCCCTCAGTATACTGCAGCTGGTACTGGTATCAGCAAGCTTGTTGGGGATAGTTTTCTGACTTAAAATGCAGGTTCAGAGGTCAGAGTTAATGAGTTACAGAAATTTGTACGGACTTGTGGAAAAACTTTGGATGAAGTTGAGTTTCATTAGAAAGGTCTGGCCTGTAGGAGCCAAGGCTGAACTGAAGGTCTTTCAAATTTCATGACCCCCTTAAAACGTTGCCCTTGACAATAGAGGGGGTGGTGTACTTTCCATGTCTGAATTTCTGCATTCTTCCTTGTGCAGGAGCATTCATCAGGTTGATTTGTATTGGGTGGGCTCACTAAGCTGTTCACTACATAGCTGTGTAAATGGCTGTACTGCTGTAATGCAGGGAGAGAAGCGCAGGGGTGAGAATAAGTGGTCTGTGGGTGAGACTGTCATTTCCAGTGGTAGTGCTGTTTTCCCCTTGCTTGAAGTGTGTATGGAACTATAGTTTAAGTTGTTTAGGGATGTAGTAATCATAGGCTTCTTCTATACTAAGTGAGGAGAGGCATCTCCAGAGGACTAATCAGACCTTCCATGACCCAGTTTCTCACCAGTGCTGTAATTAAACTGCTCCTGGAAATACAGGGGGGGCATTAGTCACAATAAAATATAAACC